TTTATTCTAGCCTTCATATCTGAAGTTGTTATACACATATTTTTCTTTCCACTTTGTAGATTTCAATTTTATCTTAGACAAGTTTACAAACTTTTCTTCATCTTACTCTTAAAACAGTCAAAGCTATGACATTAACTCTATCACTGACACATACCTAAAACTATTATAAGATTAAAGCAAATCATAGACAAATCTCAATTATCATTAAATATTCTAAAAATACTATATGTAAATAAACCATGCCTTATAGGTATATATACAATTTCCAAAATGATAAAACAAAGTTGAAAAATAGGTTCTTAGACATTTGCAAAACGTCATCATATCACAATAAATGAGTAACATTTTAGCATAAAAAAGAAATCAAACAAAAAACAACCAAATACAAGAAAAGAACATGTATTTCCAACAAATGAAGAGGAAATATAAAATCATGTGAAGATTACAAATAAACCAAAAAGTAATAAAAAAGACATGAGGAAACAGATATATTTGCCAAAATTACTTTCCTAATTGTACATGCTTATCACATTGATTACAGCATTCATTTTTCAGACAGATCAAAATAGTTGACATAGCCTATACTTGACTTATGAACAAAGAATTACTCCTAAAAACAATATATGAACTTGCAAATCAAATGCACAGAGCTCTAGAAACCAAAAAGTGAATCAGCATAACAACCTAGTTTCTTCTGTATAAGGAAAATGCTATAAGAGTAAAATAAAGATTCATTGCTAGGTATCTAGCAATCTAAGTTAGAAAATCAAATCAAAAGTATCCAATATCTGTCACATGTTCTTATCAAAGAAACTTGACATAACGAAGGAGTGCCCATAAGCTGCAGCCATTTTTGAAAATTTGGATTTCTTTCTCAGATAAATACATTCCATGCTTTGGTGTATTTAATGATAGAACTCAACATAGGATAGATACTTTTTATGGCATGATTTTTGGCCACAAAATTACTCTGCATCTTTTGTAAGATATTATCAAAGATACCAGAAATAATTCTATATTTGTTGGTAAAGGATGTAATGTCTGTGTGTTGGGGGGAAGATATATACCATGCATATAGCATTTACACTTGCTAGTTTCTAGCAAATGTATTCAAAACTTGTCTTTACTCAAATCATACATATTTTGGATAATACTACAACAATGTTGTTACTTCATAACTTCAATTAAGTTCAGTGTAAAATTATTTAGAAAACTTTTTCTTCTTCTTCCTTTTACTACTTGCACTTTAATCCAATCTTTGAATTCAAGGGAAACACTGATGTAATAAAAAGTATGTAATCAAAGTATTAATTTTTTATGAGACACTAATATCTACTCTTTCAGTACACATGGAAAATAAATTTAACATCTATTAAATGTAAAACAAGCTCAATGCCACTTTCTATATACAAAATATATATACTACATTCTAAAATATAATCAAGATATCTATTGAAATGTTTACATATGCAAAAATTTTCTTAAGATTTACTAATATTTACAAAAATCAATATTGATTGACTCAATCATGACGGAAGCCCCAAATACCATACCAAACTATAAAGACATTTATGTATAAAAAATAAATAGGATAAAATACTAAAACACAACACTAAAAGTTTAAAAACAATAAAACAAAACACAGCACTACTTCTCAGGCTAGGATTATTATGAGACTGCAGTTCACTTCTTTAACATCTGATGAATATAATTCTACCTGTTGAGATTTGTTGACCACTGCCTCAGCAAAGACTCTTTGATAAGGGATTGTGGCCTTGCCTTTACTTTGTGAAGATTATTTCTAGACCTTATGCTATTGCTTGATATGTTGTTTACAATTATTGCATTTTTTCTCTGTTTTCTGGGTCTACTCTAGATAATGACGCTATTCATAAAACAAAAGGTATGGAAAAAATGCAAATCAAAAACAAATGTTTCCAACTTTATCATTTGCCATAGACCTCATATGTAACAAGGTGCAATATGTATATGCATTATCTTGTTATCAATAATCTATCTGTATTTGAATCTAATTTAATCAAATCTGGTCCTCAATGCTAAAACCCTTGAAAAAACTAATACTCTTTGTTAAGTTATTAAGAATACTAATTTACTTACTTTCTTCCTTTGTTGCTAAAAATGCTATATAAACCTACAATATTAGTACCAATGGACTCCTTATGAAGTGACTATCCCTTTCTCAGTAGTTCTAGTTTTCATTAAACACCTATAACAATGATATTGGACCTGTTAGCTCACAAAGACATGAAATATACCAGGACAATGGAGGAGTAGACAACAGAAAAAATAATAAATTGAATCATCTTACAAATAATGAAACATTTGTAATCTATTTGGGGTCTCACACCCCTTAATTCTCTGCATTGAGAAAGTATATTGAGAGTCTACTACATCTATTCTGGCAAGGTACAGTTTGGATTGTTGCCTCAGTCGACATATCACAAAGGAGATCTGTAAGCTCTATTTAACAAATCACAAA